GTGACACACAGGCTAGATCCGTGCTCTATGGAGCCTGAACTTTATACAAGTTGATACATAATTAGGTAAGAAAGTGAATATTTATTTAGAATTATAAAAGAAATCACGCAAAAATACAAGTTTTAAAAGGCTGACAAATGCCAAAATGTTACAAAAAATTTTTAAATAACATAATATTTGTATTAATTAACCTCTATACCCTCTCCTTCATGGTTTGGTTGCATGCTCCTTGATTGCCTCTTTATTCAACACCAGTTTTGTAATATTATTTTCTTTAGAGCAAATAGAAAGCAATCTTCCCTCTCACCTGATTGATTGAAAATTTTTCTAAAAATTATTGATAGTGATAATTATTGATAGCTTCTTTCTGCTTCACAACTGTTCATTGGCAATGCCGTGTAAAACTTTTAAGACTGTTAGCAAATTTGGGAAAACCTCTGATTTAGTTTCTATGGCTATGTAACAGACCACCCCAAACTTAATGGCATGAAGCAGCAACCACTTTCTTAGGCTCGTAGATTCTGTGAGTCAGCAATTCAGAGAGGCCCCCGGCTGGGCGTGACTCACAGCTGGGCTAGGATCGTCTGAAGGCTCATTCACCCCATGCCTGGACCTGGGCTGGCAGAACTTGGAGACGAGGACTGCTGATTCCTGAGCCTCCTCCTGGCCTCTCTGCGTGGGCTGGCTTCCCCACAGCGTGGCAACCTCAGGGGACTTGGAGGTCTCACACAGCGGCTATCAACAGGAGAAGCTGCATCGCCTTTTACGACCTAAACTTGGAGTCAAGCAGTGTCAAGTTCCTCACTTCCTGTCACTTAGAGAGAGTCTCCAGCCCAACAGATTCAAGACGAGGGGAATTTGCCTCCACCTCTTGATGGAGTGGCAAGGTTCTAGAAAAGCACGAAGGACAGGAGATATTGTTGCAACCATCTTCAGGAAAATAAAATCCGCCACAACCTATGTCAAGTTTCTCTCATACCTGAGCTATTGTAGAAGTGCTAGCTACTTGTAGTACAGGATTATGATAACTTCTATTTCTCGACATTCCCATCAAATACAAGAAAAAAGGCATTCAAGACGTGATGGAACATCTTTCAGGAGAGAACTTCTGTCTTGAGCAGGTGTCAATGAACACTGAGTCTTCCACTTAGGATTTTATGTATCTGATTGGATGACTTTTCCACAGACTAGTTTCTTGCTCTGTATACTTATTTCTCTTCCTCTACCCGATTCCTCTCACCCCGCAGTACAACTTCTGGCCTGGGACCTCTGTGTCACAATGCCAGATGAGGTGGCACGGAGGGTGGTAGGAGTACATTTGGAAACTATTCCTAAACCAGAATGGCTATCAGTGACTTCACTAGACATGAAACTGACTGCAAACCACATAGCTATGTCCTACTAAACTGAAATTAAATGCGTCTCTAACTCAACTTCCCCTTGACCAGATCCTAAAAACACCCACAGTCACATCAGCACCAACAGAGGAGATGTAAGAATGGGAAGACAGTGGTCTTACCAACTGTGGTTAAAACTGCTTACTTTTGCAAATTTTACTGACATGTATGATAACAAGAACCCGTTGCCAGGGTCCTCTGCAAGGCTTGGAAGGGCATATGCAGGAGGAGGACCCAGCTTCAGCATCATCAGCTTCACAGTAAACCCACCTCTGCCTGCACACAGTAAATATTGTTTAAGTGTTAACTATTATCCTTGGCTTCATTTTCTGACAGGTCTTCTTCTTGTGGTGCAAGATGGCTACATTCAGCAGTGCCAGCGTCATATCCTCCCGGGCTCTTGTCCAGCAGGAAAGAGGAAGCGCCTCTTTCAGCACCTCATGCGCCAGGATTGACTTTGCACCAGCTTGAGTCACGACTCCAATGAGCCAATCACCCGGCCAGGGCGACTCCACGCGCTGGTTAGGCGGCCTGGGCCACATGCTGCGTTCTTACAGCTGGAGATGGAGCAACACCACCAAACCAAAGGGGCCGAGGGCGGGGGAAGGGATGCTTCTGCAGAGGTAATTTGGGAAAATTAAAGGAGCTATGAATGAAAAAATAGATGTTCATTTACTGTGAGCGTGGAGAAACTTTGAGAAGAGAGTGTGGTAGGAAGGGAGAAAGATAACAGAATGGAAAATGGAGATGCCCAAGACCTCCTCTAGCTTGGCAGCTTGCATGGGGCCTCAAGGCGCGTCCCTCCCTTGAGGATCCCATTGGCCTGGGTGAGCAACGTGTGGCCTCAGCCAAGCCCAGCTGTGCCTGCTGGCCCTGCTCCAGGCTGACCACCTCTGGATCTCCTCCACCTTTCTTCTGTCTTTTCACCCTGACCTTTGTCCCTCTTGGCCTGCCTCTCCCCATCCCTGCTCCCTAATCACAGCCTTCATAGGGTCGGGGGTAGGTGGGGTGGGGAATCAGCAAGACTTAAGCCAGCAACTTTGCTTCCCTGCTCCTGGCCCCTCCCCCTTCCTATTTTGGGTCTCAACTAAGTAAGATCCTAAGTTGAGGCACATAATTCAGGGGAAATTGCTATTGGAGGGTCCCAACTATTTCCTCTCATCCATGCAGAACTCTGTGGCCGCCCTAAAGACCTGCAGTCTGTAATAAGGTAGCCACTAGCCACGTGGGGCTACTACATGACTCTTGAGATGTAGCTAGTCTGAATTACGATATGCTACACGTAAAACACACAGTGGATTCTGAAGACTTAGTATGAAAAAATGTAAAATATCTCCTTCATAATTTTATATGCTGATTACATGTTGAATTGATAATACCTTGGATTATTGGGTTAAATAAAATATATTATTAAAATTGATTTCACCTGTATCTTTTTACTTTTTAAAATGTGGCCACCGAGGGGCCAGCTTGGTGGTGTAGCAATTAAGTTTGCATGCTCTGCTTCAGCAGCCTGGGGTTTGCAGGTTCAGATCCCAGGTGCCGACCTATGTATTACTCATCAAGCCATGCTGTGGCAGTGTCCCACATACAAATAGAGGAAGATGGGCACAGGTGTTAGCTCAGGGCCAATCTTCCTCACCAAAAAAAAAAAAGAAAATTATGGCTACTGGAAAATTTAGTATGACATATGTGGCTCGCATGACATTCCTACTGGACAGTGCTGCTCTAGACCCTTTTTCCAGAAACATTCACATGCATACATACCCACATAATTTTGTACATAATTTCAGGAACGGGTGGGAGTGCCCTAAATCCCACCCACAGGCCGAGCCCCAAATCAAGACTCTCTGAGTCAGGAATTTCATGGTTTTCTCCAGATCCAGCATTTACCACCCCATCACTGCACAGATGGGGACACTGAGCACCCAGCTCTCCTCCTAGGACAACCAGCTGACCTCAGGGGCCCTGTCCTTTGGGGATGTGGGGCTGCCTGGCCCTCCCATATTGGTGTGGAGGGCTGGCACTGGGGTCACCTCATGGAGGGTGATGCTGCAGCTCTGCCTTTCCAGGCCCCCCCAACTTGTTCCAGATGGAGTCCCTATCAGTTTAGGGAGACGTGAATTCACTCCCCAGGGGCATGTACTTCCTCAGGACTCCTGTGTTCCCAGGACTGGCCCGCCATGGAGGCCACCGATGACCAAGGTAGTCCTGGCGGGTGGGCTCCAGGCCAGGCTGAGCCCAGTCTGGGAAGGGGGCCAGGGCTTTCGGCCCAGAGAGCAGAATCCTGGCCTCTGCCACTCACCAGCTGGGTGACTTTGTCCATTGCTGCTTCTTTTTTTTTTTTTTATAATTTTATTTATTTATTTATTTTTCCCCCAAAGCCCCAGTAGATAGGTGTATGTCATAGCTGCACGTCCTTCTAGTTGCTGTATGTGGGATGTGGCCTCAGCATGGCCGGAGAAGCAGTACATCGGTGCGCGCCCAGGATCTGAACCCGGGACGCCAGCAGCGGAGCGCGCGCACATAACCGCTAAGCCACGGGGCCGGCCCCATCCATTGCTTCTTCTATGAACCACTTTGGAATAAGCTGTTCTTCGTAGCTTTCTACGTTTTACATTTGCTTGTTCACTAGATTTTACATCTGGTTCATGCAAATTAGAGGTATTTCTCATTTGATTATTTTTCACTTGTTCATAGACCATTATTAATTTTCTTCTTTGGCTGATTCTATAATAATACATTTTAGATCCATTTGTAATAATTTAACATTAATTTGCTTTCATTTGCCTCGAAAAACAAATATATTGTTCAATTATATAGTGAATTGACATGAAAATGACTGAATTCATGTCATTTCAGGAGAACATTTAGTGCTATTGTGCACACTGAATAGTTTAAACAGGTAGGTGACTTCACAAAGCTGTTTTCTGTAATATTGATAGTTTAAGAGTTTCCTGATTGGTCCCTTTTACCTTTATTACAAAGTGTGAAATTCGAGTCTAACAGAAATCCTCTAAACTCCCAGGACCAGCCAAACAGCCTCAAGTGAGGCTGAACTTGAGGGGCAGGGGCCCAGAACCAGAGAGTCCGAGCCCCCTGTAGCTCTCTGAGGCCTGCTTGGGGCATGTGGGGGGGAAGCCCTAGAACAGTACCCCCGCTGTGACTGTCCTTATTGTTGTTCCGGACTCCTGGCTGCACAGAACTACCCGGAGGTCTGGTCCCTCGTCTGCTCTCATTTGCTCAGCCCTCCTCCCCAGAGGCTGGCCTGGCTCAGTCTGGGGCTGGGCTGCAGCTCTGCCCCCACCCTGTCCTCTGCCCTCAGTCTCAGGGGAACCAGCTACCTGCCGCTGCTTCCGGGACTTGTCTCTCCTCCTTGCTGCATCTGCAGTGCTGACACCCCAGCTCTGGAAGGGGTGCTCCACCTGTGGCTCCTGGAGCCCTGCCAGAGGTTTCTGGAGATGCTGATTGACTCAGCCTCTTGGGGAAGAAGAGAAGATGATGGGCTGGGGGAGTGACCTGAGGGTGGAGCCCCAACCTGTTTATAGAAGTGTGGCTCCTTGGAGGCTGGCAGATTCACGGTCACTCCCAACCCACTGGAATAGTCGCTGTCAGCTAGCCAGGGAGCTGGCGTCTTGGCAGGAGCTGCAGTGGAGCTGGAAGGGTTGGCATGGAGAGACTAACACCTAGGGGACCACTTGGCAATCCTCACCAGGTAACTGTGTCTCCAAGCCCGTGGATATCACTCACGGCAGGAACTGGGGACAGGGTGCCTTCCAAGAAGCTTGACACAGCTGAAACTGAGGTGATTCTGGCCTCTGGGGAGGGCCTGGTCCCAGACCTGTGGTCTCTGCCTAGGCAGAGGCCAAGGGTAGGAGGCAGAGGGTGAAGGAGTCTGTGCTTGGGGATGGGGAGTGGGTGGGAGGGATGATCAGGATCCATAGAAGTGAGAGCCTGGGAGACCAGAGCCTTACCTCTCTACCATGGGTGACCAGGCAGCAGTCCCCTTAAAGCCCCTCCCCCTGCTCCCCATACAGGCTCACGCACCACTCAGACAACACAGTGGCTGTGTGTCTCAGAAGGAGACCCCACCAGGCCCATAGCCCACCACCGAGGCAGGGGACTTCCTGGAACTGGCTGGAGCCCAGGGACCACCCTGTGTGTCCCAGGAGCACTGCCAGCCCTAATCCCCATCCACTGGCAGTTATTTACTGGACCCAAGAGCAATGAGGCTGTGACCAGGCCAAGGTAGGCTCACCCCTACCCCTGTCAACTGCTTCCCCTCAGCCCAGATTTCTCATCCTCTGCCAGGAACCCAGGCCAGAAGGACTGACTCCTCAGGTCTCCCCTGGTGCCCCCGATGGTGGCCATGAGGGGGCTAAGTGTGCCAAGCTCACTCTCCTGAGGCATTTGCCTCATTCGCAGACCTTGCCAGGCTTCTGAAGCCTTGGCCCTGAGACCCAGGCCTGAATTGGGTCCAGACACGGACCTCCAGACCGGTGCGCCTGGGGAGGATTTGCTTGGGGGTGGGGGCAGACACCAGGGAATCCTGGGGAAGATAGAGAGGGACCGTTCATTGAAGAACAACACCTGCTGTCCCAGCCCGTGTCAGCCTGAGGTCTGGAGGATGCTCCCCAAAGAAGCATCAGTGGAAACGCTGTGATGGGGGTCTGAGAGTATCCCAAGGCTGCAGAAACAGGGCAGTGGAGGGGCTGGACAGCCCTGGCTCCATCTCCTCCTCCCATCAGGAGCCCTGAGCCCCAGAGCCAGCTGTGGAGGTTTGTGAAGTATTCCCCTTCATACCTATCTCCCTGGAGAAGGCTGGGCATCCTTCTCCTTCCACCCAGCCAGGGGCAAAACTGAAGCCCAAGGTTCAGTGACTGTGGGAGACTGAATCTGCCCTCACACCTGGGAAGCACCTTGCCCCCAGCTGATATTCCCAGGACTGAGTCCCTGAGACTGGGCCCTTAACCCCCAGCCTTCAAGTCAGGGGCAGGGAAACCTCAGTGGTGGACTCACCCAGCCTCTTTCTTGCTGAAATGGGGGGTCTGGAGCCTGCCCCAGCAGCAGGAGCTTGGCTGGCAGGGCAGGCTGGGCATCCAGGACTTGCTCTGGAACGTGCCTGCTGTGTGGTCAGCTCAGCCTGACTCAGGAGGTGCAGGGCCCGAGGCTGTGCCTGCAACTTCCACTCCCTTCTCTCCAACCTCCCCTCACTGCGCCACCACGGGGCATTGGGTGGCAGCAGGGGGAAAAAGGCTGCTTGTTCATTTTTCTCTTCCTGCTGAAGATCCCAGGGTCACAAATATTCTGGGGTCTTCTGGGGTAGCACCAGGACTCAAGCCCCCTCAAGACCTTTGGGCCACATGCCCTGTGATGGGCAGGGGCCAGCACTGAGCCTCTGCAGGGAGGAGGATGGAGGAGGCTCCGGGGTCCTTGCACGGGGGAGAGATGGTGGCTAAGACTCTCAGCGGGAAGGCACTCCCTGGATCCTACAGGAAGCTGGGCTGGGGGGTGCCTGCTGGAGAACCCCTCCAGGAGCAGCCAGGCTCAGTCATCAATTAAGGAAGTATTTAGATGGAAGGCTCTTTCAACAGGGAAGGTAAAGCCCCAATACCCTCAGGAGAAAAGAATCGTCTTAGTTAATACGTTAGTTCAATAACTAATAAAGAAGCATAGTCCCAGGAAGGCAGAAAAGCACAGGGTCTGTGAGCTCTGGCCGTGAAGACCTGGGTTTGAATCCTAACTGTGTCACCTATTAACTCTGTGACTGAGGGCAAGTTGACCTTTCTGAGCCTCAATTCTTTCATCTGTAAAATGGGAGGAAACAAGAGTACTATCTTCTGAGGTTGTCAGGAGGATAAATTAAGTTAGAATATGTACTATGCTTAGTACAGTACCTAGAAACATAAAAAGCACTTAATAAATAGTAATATGAGCAATTATCTAGAAACTGGTTACTTTTTTGCTAAGCATTCTTCTAGGCGTTCTACAGGCATTAACACATTTAGCCCCAGAACACTGTGTGAGGTCCATACTATTATTAGTCCCACTACATTTGAGGAAATGGAGACACCAGGAAGGTTAGTGACTTGTCCAGGGTCACACAGCAAGTAAGCAGAGGACCAGGATTTAGATCCAGACAACCTGGCTGGGAGCCTGCCTTTGACCCCACTGCTCTACTGCCCCCAGTAATGACCAGTCATTGTAATTACTGTTACAGCCCATCCTCTGGGTGGTCTGTGTTAGTGATGGTCTTAGAGGTGAAGAGAAATGGGCTTTCATCCCAGGAAAATATTCTGCCAGGGAGCGGTGGGAATCTGAGGTTGAGAGGCTACCAGCGACCAGAGGGAGACATGGGCAGCAACACGCAAATCGGGCCTGGTGACTGGCTGGAAAGGAGCAATTGGTGGCACTTCTTAGAAGCCTCAAGTGCTTTAGAGCAGCCCACAGGCTGTGGACAAGAGGACCGGGCCGAGCCTGGGCTGCCTCTGCTATGCCCTGCCTTGGAGGGGCCACTCAAGTACAACTGCCCCCAGGGCCCCAGGACCCTGGCCAGCACCTTCTCTGAGGCAGGCGGTGATGGCATCTGGATGTGGGCAGGCTATGGAGCTAGGTGTCAAAAAGGCATTAGATCCTTGCCAATTACAACCTTTGGTTTGAGGCCTTAGAGCTAAAAGGTTGCTAGTGTTACTGGAGTTAATCCCCAAGGAGGGACAAAGAAGCTTACCTTGCTGGGGGATGGCATGTGCTCTGCAGAAGGCTGACAGGAAAGACAAACACACTCAGCATGAAGCCACAGGAGAGGGACCCAGGGGAGAAGGGAGGGGACAGGGCACTTGTCCTGAGTGGCTTTGCTGTGGCCCATTGTCCTTTAAGGTTCTCGTGGGGAGTGGAGAGCCTGTCCCATGGTCACCGAGCTGGCCTCTAGCAGGCAGCTCCTGTGTAGAGCAGAGACAGGGTCCTGGTGGGAGCTGTGGCGGTGGGACTGGTGGCGGGAGGGCACAAAGTAGGAAGCAGCTTTGGTTTCATCACAACACTGCCTCCCAACCACGCAGTGCCGAATGTCCACCTCGCAAGCACCATGCTGCTTCTGCCTCAGATCGCAGGGGCTTATTATAAGAAACTTGTGCAGGGCGCCCAGGAAAAGCAACACAGCCGGGCCTCAGGAAGAACAGAAACCCAAGGGTCCCCCCTGGATCCCAGCAGCGCCAAGGACCTCAGCAGTAGGGGTTTGAGAGGATCCCTAGTGCCCTGTCCCCAGTAGGACTCAGCCACACTCTGCCTGCCCTCTGCTTTTCCTCCTGCCACCTACTTCTGCTTGTCTGCTCTGCCCCTCTGAGCTTCCGCCCACTCAGTCTCTTCCTCCTCGTTGGGCTTGTCTGTGGGCTGATGTGGCCTCGCCAGCATGTTAATACAAAATGACCTTTCACTCGCTGCTCATGGTAATGGCCTGATGCTCTTGGAGTTTCCTAATTCGCACCCCAGAGAAGGTGAATACCTGTGGCCATCACAGACCACTGGGTTCCCCAGGGCTCGGCCTCCCCGGAGTCATGTTTCACTTCCTGTCCAGAGGGCCAGGGGCATGCCGGGCAGCAGGGTCACGTGCTTCACCAAAGGTTGCCCCCCTGGAAGTGCTGGGGGCTGCCGACCCCAAACTGACATGCCCAGTGTGGTGGCCACTCCTTGGCCCTCAGTTCCCTGCTCTCCACTACACTGTGCAGTCCTGTCCCTGAAGGGGAGAGGGTCCCACAAATTCCACCCCCCGGGGCGTCTGCCATTCCCTGACCCCTGCAGCCCAGAACCACGGCCCCAAGGACACTGGTGGGCAAAGGCTGTTTGGCCCCAGAACACCTGGCAGTCACCAAGCATCTCAGGAGAAGCCTCTGCACAGATTGGTGGGCTTGTGCATGAGCAGGAGGGACTTAGTAGTCTACTATTTCTCTCCAGGGGGAGGCCTCTGCCTGCTGGCGGCTCACCGTGAGAGTCCTGGAGGCGCGGGGCCTGGGCTGGGCTGACCTGTGTGAGTACTGGTTCCTGGGCTCCAGGGGTGTAGGGATGACCAGGTCCTATGGGAAAGGCCTAGACAAGTGCCTTGGGGCTGGGCTGCCCTGGCTGGGCTGGGCTGCCCACAGTGTCTGCCGGGGTCTTGGTAGGAACCTGGCAAGGCCCCTGGAGAAGGGTGTGAGAAATTCTCTCTCATGACGCTTCTCTTGATGTTGGCAGTGAGCGAGACAGACCCCTATGTGATCCTACAGCTGCCAACCGTACCTGGAACAAAGTTTAAGACCAAAACAGTCACCAACTCCAGTCATCCCATATGGAACGAGACCTTCAATTTCCTAATCCAGAGTCAGGTCAAGGTAAAGGCCAGGGTACCCCTGGCCACCAACCTGAGGACAGGCTGTATCCTCCATAGGGAGGGTGTGGAATGCACCTTCCCCAGGGATCAGTCAGAGAAACTGGGGAGGGGAGTTTCTTTGTGTCCCAGCCTGGATGTGCTGTGTGCAAGAGAATGTGTGAGCCCACCAACTGCCTGTGGGCCCAACCTCCAGCAAGCTGCTGGTCCTCTCTAAGCCCATCTGTGGAACAGAGACAGTAAGTACCCCCTCCTGACTGGGTTATTATGAGGTTAAACAAGATAATGAGTGGAAGACTCCTAGGACAGTGCCCGCACATATGGTGCCTGAGGGAACCAGCAGAGCAGGGGTGGGAGACTCTTTGAAAGAATGTTATTTTTTATAAAAACAAAATTTAGCAGAGAGAAATCAGGAACTTTGCTGGATTTCCTTTCACTACTTTTAAGTTTTACCATTATTTTTATTTTGAAGTACAAAGCACAGAGGCATAATAATCTTTTCTGGCCCTGACCATCAAGTAAGGGTTCAATGGTGTGAACTCCAGCTGTGAGTAAATAATGTGCTGTTCTCGGGTCCCTAGAACGTTCTGGAGCTGAGCATCTATGATGAGGACTCAGTCACGGAGGATGACGCCTATTTCAAGGTTCTCTATGACGTCTCAGAAGTCCTCCCTGGCAACCTGCTCCGGAAGACTTTCTCCCTGAGTTCCCAGGTGGGTAGGGAGTCCCTGTGGGCCCCACCTTTCTGGGATCCAGGCTGGAGAAGTTGCACAGTTTCTCCCACCTGTTGGGAAGCTGCTGGGCTGAACTTACTCACAAAAGATGGAAACCCCTCCCAGAGATACTTACATTTTAATAGGAAAGGGGAAGGCTTAACTTAACTGCTACAGACTAAATCACTCAATGGAGGAATTTTAGTCATCTATTGGGGGAAGGTTTTGGGTGGTGGAGAACTTCTTAATGTCCCTCAAAACACAGCTCAGTGTAACTGACCCTTTGGGCAGTTGTGGGCTCCATCACTCCTGCTCACTGCCTCTGATGCTCCCATGGTGCCCAAGGCCTGCTATAGGAAGATTTCCATGCTCTTTCTCCAGCCTGCGAAGGCTGGGGTCAGAGGAAGGCAGAGTTATGGGGTCGGGTCCCCCTCAAGAGGAAGATGAAATGGGCCCTGGGCATCCTCAAGCCTCTCTTGGCTTGTGCTCCTCATCTCCCGCTTCAGCCCTGCCGGGGAGGGAGACCTGTTCTCTGCAGACTTACTGGTTGTGGGACTTGCCCAGGGAGCCCATCTTTCCCTAAGCCTCAATATCCTCATCTGTAAAATGGGAAGAATTATAATATGGTGCTTCCCCTAGAGACTGCTTGAGACGGTGAGATAACACACGTAAAAGAACTGCATCAGCTCCAAAGACTTATGTAAATGTTGACGACTTGCTCTTCTTTGATTTCAGGGTCAGGAGGAGCTGGATGTGGAGTTCCTGATGGAAGAAACGTGAGTAGTGTCCCACAGCCCAGGCAGTGTCTCAGGACCCAGCTTTATTTGGGGAAATGTCTTTGACCCACATCTTCCTGTTGGTAAATCCAGCCGAGGTTTGCTGCCCCTCATCTCCGCACCTCTGCCAGTCTGGGTGGGGAGATCCTCCGAGAGAAATGAAGAGAGCAAGGTCAATGTTCCCCCCCCCCCAGCTCTCTCTCCTCACCTTTCACTGCAGAAGCATCTCCCTCACCCCGAATCATATCCAGGACTTAGAGTCCATCAGCATTACCCAGGGAGGCCCCACATGGGCTGTAAGGGGGCAGGGCAGTGCAGGAAGCCTTTGTCTTTGCAAGGCCAGACTCTGGATGGTTTGATTTTTCTAGGTCAGACCGCCCAGAAAGTCTCATCACCAACAACGTGCTTGTGGTAACTCCCTTCCCCAGGCTGAGGGGGACCTGAGGAAGGGCCCCAGAGCAGACACTGGGGGGTGGGGTGGGGCAGGACAGCTGCCTGGGGGGTGGGCCAGAAGGGACAAGGCAAGGACAGGGCTTTGCGGTAAGACCGCCCGTGGCCTCCCAGCTAGGTGGTCACCTGGGGCTGTGGTCAGGGGCTGGGGGGCTTGGAGGGGCCTGGGGCTGAAGGGAACATGGGGAGAGGGGAGGCCAAGGCTCTGGTGAGAGGAGGTTCTGCCCCAGGCTGGAGGGCTGAGGGGGTATTGGGGAATTATCGGTGCTTCTTGACAGTGTTAGTCATGTGTGATGAACTCATAGTTCTTAGCCCTGGAAGGTGGCGAGGAGTCATGCAGGCCCAGGCCAGGTTCAGGTTGTTAATACTGAGCTAACTGAGGCTCAGAGAGAGTTTCCAGTGTGGTGTGCTTCCAATCTGGGAGCTTCGGGATAGGGTCAGGGGATCACTCAGCTCCTCCTTGGGACAGTGGAGAGTCCTCGTCAGCTCTCCAGAAACCTAGCAAGCTCATGAAGCTGCAGTGAACAGGAACAGGCACAAGGTGGCGAGAGACGCATTAGAAACTTTCTACTGAAAGTCAAGGCCCAACCAGCAACGCAGGCATGACCTGGGAGCAGGGCCCAGCCTAACATGGGGTGAGTAAGGCACCTAGAGCCCCAAACTGAAGGAGGCACCCACCCTCGGGGTCGTGCCAGTGCCTGTTTGATGGGCTAATATTACTTTTTCAAGTACACATTAAAATAGAGTCATACCTGTGGCAGCTGCCTCTTACCCGAGGTGCTGGAGACCAGCGGTATGTGGTTAAACTCAGCAGTTCTACAGCAGACGGTCAGTAGCAGGAATTCAGGGGGCCCCAGGCATCTGCTGGCGTGCTTTACAGAGGGAACGCAGCAGGCTCATGTGGCAAATCAGTTCAGGGGAGGACGGTCGGGAGATATTCTAGTTGCTAAAAGTTTAAGTGTTTCTCTGATACCTCATTCCATCCGCCTGTGGACCAGCAGTTTGCGTAATACTATTTGGGAGCAGTTGTAGTAGAATGCATCCTCTGGGTTGAGGCCACAGATAAATGTAGAGAAGAAAGAACTGTGCCTGAGGGCTGGTGGCTTTCAGAGATTCCAGATGTTTGGCAGATCTAGGAGAGCTGGGTGGGGAGATGGGGCTCTCCTGGCTGCCCACCGACATCTGGCTTAGCAGTTGCAGAGATAGGGGATGGGTTTCTGCATCCAGTCCCACTCTGGAGCCCACTTCTTGTTCTGTGTGTGGTGGATTTGGGACAGTGGGACTCAGAGGGTGAGGGGACCTCAGCTTCCCCTGCAGAGCTCCCAGCCCATGTTGTGGTCTGTCCCAGGCCCGAGAGCTGTCATGCCTGGATGTCCGTCTGCACAACGCAGGGAGCATGGCTGTGGCTGCAGGTGAGACCTCTCAGAACCAGGTCTGGCCTCCGCCTGGAATGTTGGGGGTGGATAAGAGTGGCTGGGAAACCTGTGCAGGGCAGGAGGTGAGCAGCAGGGCAGAGCTCGCCTCTCCCTTCTGGCCCACACAGCACCAGGCAACAGGTCTCCTCTGGCCAGGAGGGTCCCCCTGACCTGGGGAGGGCATGTCACAGGAGGTGGGAGTCCCATGGGGGTTGTGGGGCCCAGCAGGCTGGGGAAGGCACGTTCCAGAATCCTGTTTGCCACGTTCCAGCCACCTGGGCCTCCACTATTTCTGGGCAGTACAGCTGGTTTCCCGGGTCCTTGCTGTGCTTCGGGGCTCTTGTTCCCCTTGTGTTAACCTGCCCACTCTCTCTCTAGATCAGGATGAGCTGGAGCTGGAGCTGGTGCTGAAGGGGTCATATGAGGACACACAGACATCTGCCCTGGGCACAGCCTCTGCCTTCTGCTTCCACTACATGGTGGCCCAAGAGGCAGAGCTGAGTGGGCGCCTGAGGGTGGGTCTTGGCTCTGGAGCTCTCCCGCCAACCCAGCCTGGGCCGACTCCAGCTCCTGCAGGCCCCTCCCTGACCTTCCCCCTGCCAAGGCCAGGCCCCTATGGCCTTGCCAGCCTCCCCCAGTTCAGCACTGTGCCCTTGGCAGACAGGGATGACCACCAGCGGCCTAGGGTGGGCGTGGGGGTCTGCTGTACCATGTCGGTCTTTGTTTGAACCCTTCAGTGGTTCCTCCAATGATGCTCTTAGAAGAAAATCCCATGTCTGTGCCCAGAAGGCCCCGCACAGCCTGGCTCCCCGCCCACCTCTGCTGCCTCATTTTGTCCCGCGCTCCCCCTCCTTCATGATGCTCCATCCATACTGGTCTCTCCTTGCTTTTCCAACACGCCAAGTGCTTTCCCTGTCCTCTCTGGCTCCTTCCAAGGCTGCCTGCTCCCCCTACTCCTCCTCTTTTAGATCTCAGCTCAAATGGCACCTCTTCAGAGAGGCCCTCCTTGACTGCCCCCCATCTTAAATCAACCCCACATACCCGCCTTTTGTTACTCTATCATATCACACTGCTTATTTCCTTTCCAATGCTTACTAACATCAGTTCATTACCTGTTTCAGGGGCTGGCCAAGTGGTGTAGTGGTTAAGTTTGTGCACTCGGCTTCGGCAGTCCAGGGTTTGCGGTTCGGATCCCGGGGGCAGACCTACACAGTGCTTATCAAGCCATGCTGTGGCAAGTGTCCCACGTATAAAATAGAGGAAGATGGGCACAGATATTAGCTCAGGGCCAATCTTTCTCAGGAAAAAGAGGAGGATTGGCAATGGATGTTAGCTCAGGGCTAATCTTCCTCACCAAAAAAAAAAATTAAAGTTCATTACCTGTTTCTTTATAAATTCATACACAGGATTCAGTTAGCTAATATTTATTTATTGTTCTATTACACAATAAATATTAAATATTATTATTTCTGTAATAGTAATTATAATTATTGTAAGTACAATAATCGTAAATACTGTAATTATTTTTGTACTATGAGGGAGGGATTGTGTCTGTGTGGCTCACTGTGTAGATACTCAGTAAGGATTTGTTGAATGAACGAATAAATGAATATTTCCCTCCAGAGCTCCGAGAGCAATGGCTGGAACTCAGACAAGTCAGTAGGGCACCTCACTGTACCCCTGAGGTCCTTGACCACAGGGAAGGAGGTGACTATTGACCTTCCTGCTACAAATGTAAGTGGCCTCAACTGGATGGGAAGTGCCAGTGACAATAAAGATGGGGCAAACCCAAGGCCCCCAGGGAATACCCACATCCCCTCAGGGTTTAGGACATGCTGAGCAGCGTCTCTTGCTTTGATTTCAGGCCCCAGGAGTGAGGCTGCAGCTCAAGGCTGAGGGCTGGTAAATGACATTCGTATCTATGGGGGGCAGTGAGGGGTGGTCATGGGGCAGGGGAGCACTGTGGAAAGGGTGATCCTGGCGGGTGGGAGCAGGGAGGTTATTCGGCAGCTGTTGTGCGCTTGGCCAACCAGTGGCTGAGCGATGCAGGTGCCCCCTGACGCTTGGATCCTCCATTGCCTAGCCCTAAGGAGCTGGCTGTGCACCTGAGCTTCGATCTGTGTGCGGAGGAGAAAGCCTTCCTGAGCAGGAGGAAGCAAGTGGTGGCCAAGGCGCTGAAGCAGACCCTGCAGCTAGACGGAGACCTGCAGGAGGACGAGGTTCGGGGGTGCAGGGGGATGTGGGCAGACACCTTGGACTGGCCTTAAGGGAGCACCTGATTCCTGTGCCCTCTCCAGACACTCCAGGCAGCAGAGACTGGGGAGCGGGCATATGGGGGAGATAAGGGGCATGGTAAGCCCTGGGGTTCTCACTCCCTTTGGGGTTCTGTCCAGGGCCGAGAGCTGTCACTTCCTGCGGAGGGGCTGGGCACCAGCTCTACCCATGACTCCACCGCGAGGTTTCTTCCCTGGAGGCAGGAGGCAGCTCCGTTCCTGTCCTTGTTAAGCCAGCCTGTGTCTGTGTGTGGTTCAGGTCCCCATCGTGGGCATCATGGCCACAGGAGGAGGTGCCCGGGCCATGACCTCTCTCTACGGCCACCTGTTGGCCCTGCAGAAGCTGGGCCTCCTGGACTGTGTGACGTACTTCGGTGGCATCTCAGGCTCTACATGGTGAGGGCCCTGGGGCCTGGAAGAGCAGAGATGACCAGGCCCCAGAGGGGAGTGGAGTGGACGCTAGAGGGACCAAGTGGGTGTGAGAAGTAGGGTCTGACGGGAGTTAAGGGGCTTTCTCAGAAGGGAGGAAATGGACATTACAGAAGTCCTGCCATGAGCGAGGCCTTGCAGATGTCCATTCCATGCTACTGAAGAGGTGTCAGGGGGCTGATTCAGAAGGAGCTGGTTTGAGTCTCTGCAACACCACTTACTGGCTGGGTGACCTTGAGCAACTTACTTCCTCTGAGTCTCAGTTGACTCATCTCCAAAATGGGGATAATAATAGTAGATACTCCATAGGATTGGAGTGGGACAGCCTGGGTAAAACACCTAACGTGTCTAACACACACCAGGACTCCAAATTGGTGGCTTTTTTTCTCTTTAATTGTTATTACCTCACTTAATCCTCACAACACTCTCTAGGGTAGTTTCTTTTATTGTTCCTACAGTATAGATGAGGAAATTGAGGTCAAGAGATGCTATTTTACCTAAAGACAACATGGCCTCCCTACACCCTATCCCACCTATGATGAGGTAGGACTTTTCACTGTTAGAGATTCATTCCTTTGAGTCATATTGAAACTGGACTTTAAGGAGTAAAAGAGGAATAAACTCCTCAGAGGAGTTTAGGTGACAGCTGTTGACAAGCAGAGTCTTAAAGGGCTTCAGGACAGGCCTATGAAGACGGGAGTAGGGTCTAGAGCTATGCTGTACAATACAGTAGCCACTAGCCACATGTGGTTATGGACCACTTGAACTGTGGCTAGTCCAAATTGAAATGTGATATAAACATAAAATACACAGTGAATTTTAAAGACAGTTTGAAAAAAAATAAATTTATGTTAATTTTTATATTGATTATGTTGAAATGATAATTTTGGGATCTATTGAATTACATAAGATATATTATTAAAATTAAATTTTACTGATCTCTTTGTACTTTTTAAAAATGTGGTTACTAGGAAATTTTAAATTATATACTTGGCTCACATTATATTTATATTGGACAGCGCTGATCTAGAAGGGGAGAAAGCCCTGAGACACATTTTCCAGACAGTGGAGCCTGGTTGGGAGAAGTCAGAGGGTGGGAAGGAGGAGTTGCAGCTACCATGCTGGGCCTAGACCTCCTACTGTACTGTCCCTTTGTTCTCCCAGGACAATGGCCCACCTCTATGGGGACCCGGAGTGGTCCCAGAGGGACCTTGAGGGACCCATCGGATATGCCCGAGAGCACCTGGCCAAGAGCAAGCTGGACGCCTTCTCCCCAGAGCGCCTGGAGAGCTACCGCCGGGAGCTGGAGCTTCGGGCCGAGCGGGGCCACCCCACGACCTTCGTGGACCTGTGGGCTCTCGTGCTGGAGGCCATGCTGCACGGCCAGGTAGGAGCGTGTGTGCTCAGGCGGGGCTGGCACGGGCCTGTGCATTTCCTGCAGGGTAAGAGAGGCCGGACCCTGGTTAAAGAATGTGGGAACTCCTGTGTTTCAGAGACTGCCCAACTTTGTGATGCCGCCTTTTTGAGTCAGGCTATTCTTCAGTTAATTGCTATGAAACAGAATTGCTGGATCTCCCAAAAGCTAGTCAATGCCAAAGTCAGTAAAGCAAACAAAGCTTTTGCATTGTGTTTGAGTCAGTGAGATTGCTCAAACAGCTTTTATTTTATTTATACTGCGTTATGAAATGTATTCTTCTTCTTAATCTTCACAGTAGTGTTAAAAGCACAGAGTCTCGGGCCGGCCTGGTGGCGCAAGCAGTTAAGTGGGCGCGCTCCGCTGTGGCGGCCTGGGGTTCGCTGGTTCGATCCAGGGTGCTCGCCGATGCACTGCTGTTGAGCCATGCTGTGGCAGCATTCCATATAAAGTAGAGGAAGATGGGCATGGATGTTAGCCCAGGGCCAGTCTTCTTCAGCAAAAAGAGGAGGATTGGCAGATGTTAGCTCAGGGCAGATCTTCCTCACACACACACACACACACACACACACACACACAAAGCACAGAATCTGGAGCCCAATTCCCTGGGTTCTCATGCCAGTGCCTTTTACTAGCTGTGTGTCCTTAGGCAAGTTACTTAACCTCTCTGCGCCTCAGTTTTCTCATCTGTACAATGGGAATGAGAATAGTACTTACATCATAAGGTTGTTGTGAGTACTCAGCGGTCCCCCGGCATAGAGGAAACATTAAGTGTTAGCTATTATATTTCTTTGCTGTTGTCCTAACACCATTAAGACAAAACTGAACATATAAATTTTTTATACATTGCTTTCTTAAGGAAAGCTTAGTAAGTTAACTGCTGAATCTCACATTATCTGATGCAATTATTAAAATCAGTGATTTTTTTACACTGTTGTTTTACTACATATAATTATCTGAACAAAGTTTCTTTTAAAGCATTTGAAACAACTAAAACAAAAAATATCTTTAACATGCATAACAAAAAAGTTAACTATCAAATAAACTAGCAGAGGAAGGATTCTTATCTTTCTCGTTAGGACTTTGACCAAGAATAATTATCATGTAAACTAACCAAAAATGAATTTGCTTTGAATTTTTTTCTTTAAATTTTATTCTTGCTGGCAAACACAATGCTCCTTGGAAATTACCAACCATTCTTATTTTTTATTTATTAGTTTAAAAATATTTATTATAAAAATCTAAATATTTATTATTAAATATTTATTATGATAAATAAATTATAATATGCATTTTCAGACCTAAGGAAATGCATAAAACATAAAGAATAGTGTAATGAATACTCATGATCTCACCACCCAGCCTAGGAAATGAAATGTTACAGAAAGAGTTGAAGCCCCCTGGGGACCCCTCCCCAGTCCCATTTCACTCTTATCCCACAGACGTAACCACCATCCTAAATTTAGGTTTATCATCACATACATATCTGCAATCTGTACATTTTGTTATATTACATAACATATAATTACATGTATTTTATATATCTTTATTATATGCACCTTTATTACATCTACTTTTATTAAAAATATATATCCTTAAGAAAAATATATTATTTGCACGAATGGTTTTGTACAAGTCTCCTTGTGCACCTGTGTTAGAGATTCTCTAAGCCTTGAGGATATATACCCACTAGTGGAATTGTTAGGCCACTGGGAATGTGTACCTTCAACTTTCCCAGCTGTTATCAAATTGTTCTCCAAAAGGGTGTATTAATTCACACTCCCACCACCAGTCTATCGTAGTTTCTTTTTCTCTACATGCTCTTTAGACTTTTAAATTTTTGCTCGTTTTATAGGCGTGAAATGAAATTTGTTGTAGCTTTCCAGTTCCTTGATTTTTAGTATGACATCATATTTGCAAGTGTATTTGTCATTGGAACTTCCTCTTCCGTGGATTACCTACTCAAATCCTTTTCCGTTTTTTATATTATTTTGTAGGATTTTTTAAATATATGCTAGATATTTTTCTAATAGACTTTGATACATAATTTTAATATTATCCAGTCTATCATTTTTTTCCTTTATGGTTTGTGCTTTTAGGGTCTTCCTTAAGAAATCTTTCCCTCCCCTAAAGTTACAAAATATCTTCCTGTATATTCTTATAAAAGTTTTAAAGATTTGTTTTTCACAATTAGGCCTTTAATCCACCCAGAATTTGTCTGCAGGTATTATGTGAATAGGAATCCAATTTTATTTTTTTCCCATATGGATAGCATACTTTCCCAATATCACTTATTGATTTTTTTTCCTCCACTGATCTGCATTCGACTTCTGTCGTGTTTCAGCATTCATATATTCACGGAACTCTTCCTGAGCTCTATTCCATTCTAATCGGGTTGATTTTCTATCCTTGTGCCAATATCACACTGGCTTAGTCACTCCACCTTTGCAATAAATCTTGGTATCTGAGAGGGCAAATTTACCCCGCTCCACCACCTTGGTCCCACTCAGAATTATCTTGGCTACTTTAGGCCCTTTGCTTTTCTGTATACATAATAGAATCGGCTAGTCAAGTTTCATGATAAATGTTGAGATTTTTATTGGAATGGCATTGAATTCATAAAACCAACGTAATTACTTGAAATAATTTTTATTTTATGAATATATTTTATGTATTCTTTGGATCTACTGTTTAAGTTCATGTCCAGTTTTGAGAGTGTTGTGTTTTATGAACTGACATTTCTGCTTGGCGGCAGCAGTTAGTTACTATAAGTGGGAGAAGCTTGTTGTAAGAGTTCACTTTATGAGGTGCTAGAAAATGCAGTTTGATCTGAGGCTATAAAGAAGACTTGAATTACCGTTTGATCCTCCACTAATGACTTAATGCATGGTTTTATGGACGAGGTTTATAGTCATTTTTAAAAAGACAAACTTAGTTTTTTTGTTGTTGTTCACAAGAATAAAAAATCTTGTAGTATTATTGAACAACAATACATTGTTAAAAATGAGCACCCATGTGGTTTTAAAAATTTTGTCCCGGGCCGGCCCCGTGGCTTAGCGGTTAAGTGCGTGCGCTCCGCTGCCGGCGGCCCGGGTTCGGATCCCGGGTGTGCGCCGAGGCACCGCTCCTCCGGCCATGCTGGGGCCGCGTCCCACATGCAGCGGCTAGAAGGATGTGCAGCTATGACAGACAACTATGTACTGGGGCTTTGGGGGAAAAATAAATAAATAAAATCTTTAAAAATTTTGTCCCAATATGAAATCTTTGCAAATATTGTTTTTTTTTCCTTGGTTTTCATGTTTTTTTTTTAGTTGGTTTTCCTGTTTTATCTCTTAAAGCTTGCGTTCATTGTATGCTTTTTAAAATAATTGTTTATTCAGACAAATTTAGTGTTGACTTCAAATTTGTCTTTAGATATAAGTATTTGTTATCTCTATACCATACTAATCTACAGTACCAAAAGTCATATTAAAATGTCATAAAATTAACTCTATTCATAACAAATAATTTCATTAATATTAAGTATTATTAGAGAAATATTATACCCTGAACTTTACTCAGAACAACTGTATAGTCTACATACTTCTGTAATATTGCTTTGGTTTTTGTAAAAACCTGCTTGTAAAATCCACCAGTTATAATCAGTGCTTCTCAAACCATCTCTTTGAAACATTTTCCTTTAATCTTTTGCTGGCAAGTACTCAGCTGCTTAGAAGCTGCTCACCATTCCTCAAGGAGAAACTCACAGTTTTTCTCTTATCTTTTCCTGATTTAAGAAGGTCTTAACATGTTTTTCTTCAACTCTGGACAAAAGATTTTCAACACACTTTAGTCCCACCCCGTACAATGCCCAGACCACGTCAACACATCACCACCCTGCACCCAGCTCCCACACTTCAGGTGGGAGCTTTGAGTCCTCAGAGTGGTGTTCTGCAGGGTTGGGATCCTCATTTGGAAACTGGTGGGCTAGAGATGGAGAGGCCTGCCACGACTTACTGGTGAGCTGTTCAAAGAAAGAGGAATACTGTGTACTGTTTCAGTAGATGGACGGGGTGCTGACACTTTTCCACACCTTTCCCCAGGGCAGAAATTGTGCATCTGTAGTAAAAGGACACATTTCCCCTCATCATACGTGTCAAAAGAGCAGGCAAACAGGATTCCTAAAGAAAAGGACTAAGAGAAGGGAAATTGCAGGTGTTAATATGGCCCCTTCCCTCCTCAACACATATACACGTTCCCACCCATAGGACTGGCTTGTAGATACAACAATAGTCAGTGCTGGGGGCTCAAGCCGTAGTCAGGGATTTTCCTGTGGATTTCCTGTAACTCAAGCCATATTGGGGACCACTGAAGCACAGGGGGAAAGATGACTGTGGTTGACACATGAGTGCTCTTATGGAGTGACAGAGGGCTGGCCGGGGGAAGAGGAAGTTCACCGGGTGTGCTGGGGCTTCACCGTGAGTGTGGCAGGGGGACTCCTCACTGAATAGGCTAGGCCAGAATACCGGGATGCACACCTGTCTGATCATCAGAACCACCTGGGGAGATTTAAAAAAAGGCAAATTCCTAAGTGGCTTCTGCTGATTCTCAGAAGAGACCCAGTAATCGGTATATTTAATGTACTCTAAGTAAATCCGATGATAAGTGTTGATGTGGCAGGTTGGGAACTCTCTAGGTCTAGCTGCTGAGTGAGGTGCCTTCCAGCTCAGAGAGCCTAAGAGAGGGATGCATGTTCGTGGTACATGTATGGTTCCATCAGAAACAGCCCAGGGCCTGTGGCAGCCGGATCCTTCCCAAGGTGGGGCTCCAGGCAGCCACCACCATTAACCTTGTTGTTGCTTGAGATGAACCCTATTTGCATCTCTGGTCCAGGATAGAACGAGACCTTTCTGTGCCCCTAGAACTCAGTGAGGCTTGGTAGAGTCTCCCCCAAAAGGCAAGCCACAGTCCTGGCCATCAAAGACAGAGCCTGGAATTTTATTGAAGAGAAAATTAGAAACAGAGGCAGGAATTAACGCTGAGGTAAACTTCATACCGTGCAAAGCAGGAAAGAAGAGGGTGCTGAGGGGAGGCAAAGATGTCAGAAAAGCATTGGGAGGGGCTGAAACTTGACCTGCATCAAGGTGAACCTAGAAGGGGCGGCCCATCTGCTGGCAGAGCTTACAATGTATAGTAAAAGGGGATTCCTGTGTCCTTCCTGGAAAGCAATATGTGTGTGTGCATGCGCATGTGGAGGGGTGTGTGTGTTGTGCTTTGTGTCTGTGTGTCAGGGTCCATCCTTCCACCCATAAAGATGGGGCCACGGGAACCACAGGGTGCAGGGGTGGAGTGTCAAATTGACATTGTAGTCCTTGTGAATGGCACTCTGTGGGGATATGCAGTGCACAACCTGCATAGCCCTATGTAGTGACCCTGCATATGGGGCTGGTCAGAACGTGGGGGGGAGGGAGTGGGAACTGAATGTGTGCACCCACCCAAGATGGAGTTGCCTCCTCACCCCCAGCCTGTGCTCCCACCCTGTGCTCCTGTCCTGGTGGAGTTGCTGCCTCTATGGTGCTCCCAACCTCACTTAGGCCCTCATGCCCCCAACCCCAGGTGATGAATCAGAAGCTGTCAGGACAGAGAGCTGCACTGGAGCGGGGCCAGAACCCTCTGCCCCTCTACTTGAGCCTCAATGTCAAAGAGAACAATCTGGAGACCCTCGACTTCAAGGGTACAGTGCTCAGTTCTGCCTACTCCACCCTCCAACACATACCCACCCACCCACACATGCGTACACAAATACTTCCTCTGCACCCTGGGAGTCTCCAGAGAATTCAAACAGAAAACTCCTGTACAGAATGCGAAGCCCTCTGGAAGGGTGGTGGTTCTGATGGGCTGATGAGCCAGACAGCAGAGCTTGCTGTCCTGGAGGTGGGTGGGGGGGTGTGGGGGTGAGGGTTGGTGGTGGTGAGGATGTGGTCAAGGGGCTGGGTGGGGGAGTGGTCAGCCCAGGAGTCAGCCAGACAGGGAGGAGTCTGTGGCCTGCTAGGGGGCAGTATCTTTGGCCCTTGTCAGAGCTGGGCTCCCCCAAGCCCACTCCCCTCTCATCCCTGCCTTTCCCTCCTGCTCCCTCAGAGTGGGTTGAGTTCTCGCCCTATGAGGTTGGGTTCCTGAAGTATGGAGCCTTTGTCCCATCCGAGCTCTTTGGCTCCAAGTTCTTCATGGGGCGGCTGATGAAGAGACTCCCCGAGTCCCGGATCTGCTTTCTGGAAGGTGAGGGGTGGTCACTCTGAAGGCCAGGACTCTCTGACTGGACATGACTCCTGTACTCAGGTCTGGCAATGCTCCCGGGTAAGGGCCAGGGTTGGGCTGTGGGGAAGCCCCACTGGGGCAGCCTGCTCCCCACTCCCATGTTCCATCTGTATCCAAGCGTGGGGACCACTGGCTTCCAGGCGATGGGAGCAGGGTACTGAGGCCTGGGGCTGACCTCTCGTGGGGGTTTGGCCTCCAGGTATCTGGAGCAACATTTTCTCCGTGAACATGCTGGACGCCTGGCATGACCTCACCAGCTCTGGTGATGCCTGGAAGCAGCATATCAAGGACAAGATCAGGCGCCTGGGTAGGAAAGGGAGGCAGTGGGGGGGGGGGGGGGGGGATGAGGCCGCCACCCCTTCAGACGCTGCGGGGCCAGGGCCTGTGGGCTGTCAGAGGGGAGGCAAGGCCAGGCATTTCCAGGCCCCTCACTGGACAATGTCTGTTTCTCTGGGCCAAGAGGAGCCCCCTGCCTCCCCGAGGACCTCCTCACGGCCAGAGACCGCTTGGCTGCAGCCTGGAACGGCACTGGCCCAGGCGTTTAAGGGCTTCCTGACAGACAGGCCGCTCCACCAGCACAGCTCCAACTTCCTCCGGGGCCTCCAGCTGCACCAGGACTACTGTCGCCAGAAAGACTTCGCCACCTGGGCAGGTAAGGGCCACTGCCGTGTGTCCCTAGGTAACAGAGTTGGGCTCCCACGTGGAGATGGAGCATGGCTAGGACTGGCAGAGGCCTTGGGGGTCACAGTGTCCACCTCTGGGGTGTGACCTGGAAAAGGTCTTGGGAAGGGCTGGGGTGGCGTGTGCACTCAGGGAGTGACACCAGAGGTAAGAAGGCAACACGGAGGCAAATGCAGTATGAAGGGGGCGAGTGGATGATCTGTGGTGGAGTGGCCGCCCCTAACTATCACTGTTTCGCCCATCAGACTGCCAGCTAGACTCCACCCCCGGCCAGCTGACCCCGCAGGAGCCCCAGCTCTGCCTGGTGGATGCCGGCTACTTCCTCAACACCAGCTGTCCCTCCATGTTCCGGCCAGGCCGCAGGCTAGACCTCATACTCTCCTTTGACTACTCCCTATCCTCGCCCTTTGAGGTGCAGACCCTCTGCCCGGCCAGGCAAAGCTCCTGAGCAGCAGGGCCACTGAGCCACTGGCCAGAACTCCTGAGTTCCCAAGGGCAGGGGGGGCGGGTGACAGGCTCCGACCCACAGGCTCTTGCAGGGTCCTTGGTTGGGACGGGCTGTGGAGGTGCTGGGGCCCTGGGCTCCCAGGCAGGTGGACTGGGAGGAAGCTTACCACACCTGCCCAAGCAGAACAGCTGAACAGAACTGAGAGGAGACCCTGGCCTGTCCACATCCATCCCCCAGGGCCTCCAGGGAGACCCTAAGTGGGGTGAGTAGGGCCGTGATGCAGAAGTGGGTCCCCTGCGAGGCCCTCTAGGCTGTGGGGTTTGACTAACCCAGCAACAGCAATCCCAAATGGAGGCAGAGTGCTAGGTCTGTACCCCACCTAAAGATTTTAACCAAACCACATTGCAGACCACCAGGATACTTCACCTCCCTCTGAGGCACTATGTAACTTAACTGGGCCACGAACAGGACAGAACCAGGTTGTCTTGACACTGAACAGTCAGTTTGGGCTGGAGCCGTCCTAGCACTTTCTAGAGCGCTGACCTGGGATGACCGGGAAGTAGCTGGTTCTCTCTGGGCCCCCTCTGCCCCACCAGGTGCTGCAGCAGACTGAGCTGTACTGCCGGGGCCAGGGGCTGCCGTTCCCCCGCGTGGAACCCAGCCCTCAGGACCAATGCCAGCCCAGGGAGTGCCACCTCTTCTTGGACCCCACCTGCCCTGAGGCCCCTGTCCTGCTGCACTTCCCGCTGGTCAACGCCTCCTTCAAGGACCACTCGGCCCCTGGTGAGGCAGCCCCTCCCTCTCTAACAGCCTGGCAGCCTGGCCCCTCAGAGGCTCTGTCCTGGGCCCTCCCCAGTGCCCTGTGGCCAGCAGAGGAGGAGAGTCTTAAGGCTAGTCCCATCTAATTTTGGACTGGGTGCCCTCATCCCTGCAGGGGCCTCTGTCTGTGAAGTCACTGTGCTGCTGTCCTCTTTGTCATGACCGGGCTCCTTCGGCCTCTCCTTCCCCTAATCTCCCTAGCTACGACTGGGCTCCTCTGCTTTCCTGCCCTGTGGGGTGGTATGTAGGAATCCCTGCGTCCAGAGGCTCCCTGCATTGTCACCATCTGTAGCCATGTCCACCACTGTTCAGGCCAAGTTGTTGGAGGCCTTCATAAAGGCTGTCCAGGCTAGACAGCCAGGAAAGAACGGCCCAGTGCCTCTCTCTCAGATTCCCCTAAACCTACCTGGGGTTTCACTGGCCTCTCTATCGTCCTGCCCCAGCCCTGGCTGGGTCCTTTCTCAGGGAGCTGGGCCTCTACTCTGGGGTCCCCAAAATCTAAACCCTCATCACATTCCTTCCAATCCTCGCTTCCCACCAAACTGGTCAAACTTCTATTTCCTTTTGCTGGGAAAACCTAATTTCTGCGTTTGTGCATTATTCCTGGCTTTCTAGTTCCCACCATAATTCCAAACCTTCCAGCTTTACTCTTAACATGCTCAGCCTACATCTTAGAATTCTCTTTCTCTCTCAACAAAGACTGGTTCTTGCAAAGCAAAAGCCATTTCGTTTTCATTCTTTTGTTTCCATTATGGGTTTTAATAATCCATTCACTAACCTAATTGACTTTGTCGTTCTGGCTGTTTCCACCTTACCCCTGAAGGTGACATAGATACGGGGTTGCCTGAGTAGTGGAAGAAGGGTAATGCTGCAAGAAAATGCAGGCAGCAAGTTCTTCATATCTCAAATAGCATCCTACTATCCACATTTATGCTCTGGGTGAAGGACACAGAGGGCTGGGACAGAAGCAGGGAGCTCCTTCAGTGGGGTGCAGCCCACCCCAGTGCCCAGCTGTGGAGGCCTCTGGGCCCTGCTCCTCACCCCCTCCCACCCCTGGGCAGGTGTCCAGCGCAGCCCCGCAGAGCTCCCAGCTGGCCAGGTGGATCTCACGGGGCCCACCTCGCCCTATTCCCTGTTCAACATGACCTACAAGAAGGAAGACTTTGACCGCCTGCTGCAGCTCAGTGACTACAATGTACGCAACAGCCAGGGCGCCATCCTGCAGGCCTTGAGGACCGCTCTGAAGCACCGGGCCCTGGGGGCCAAGCCTCCAGGGGTGCAGACTTGAGGCTGCTCAGGGGGCCCAGGATCCTGAGGGCCACACGCTGACCCTCTGGAGGCTGGGGGCTTAGCCCACCCACAGCTGAGCACAGCCACAGCCCTTGACTGGGGCTCTGGACTGGAGTTCTTGGCTCTCCCGGGCCTGGGCCACCTCTGCAGCTGGTCTCACTGCCCAGAAGGGGCTGTGTCCCACCCAAAGTTCTCCCTCACTTTCGTAGCTGGTTTGAGAGAGTGAAAAATAAACTCCTCACCAGACCGGTGTAGAACAGCTGGTCTGACCAGACAAACATTCACACATAATTATTTTCATGTTTGAGCAGAATGGATTTGGGACACAAGCTGGAGGTGTCAGATCAGGAGTGGGGACAGGCAGGGCAGGCACGGCCTGACAGACAGGTGGCTCCAGGGATCAGGGATCACAGTCTGTCCTGAAAGTCTCCTCTTCCTCTCCCTCCTCCTCCTTCTCCTCCTCTTTCTTTTTTATTTTTTCCCAGAGCAGACAAACCAGTTTAGCCATACAAGCAGAAGTTAATTTAAATTATTTTGCAAAACAAGTGGAACTTAACTAGGGCCACTTCTTGTTAATGCCTCTGAAAATCATAAACAAAATTTAAACTGTTCCCCAAAATTGATGTGACTACTTTAAACCAATTCCCTACCACCAGTAAAACTCTAATGTGACAGCCAATCACTATGAAGAGTGAACAGCCACTGCTTCCTCGCCATGTGAGCTGCCTTATGACGATATACCTCTGAGCCTCATTCCATATTCTAAGTATGGCAACACCTGCTTTCCTTTGCTCGCCGTTTGCTTGGAGTATCACCTTCTATCCCTTCACTCTGAGCCTATGTTTTTCTTTAGAGCTGAGATGTGTTTCCTGGACGCAGCATATTGTTGGGTCTTGTTTTTTAATCCATCGAGCCACTCTGTGTTTTTTGATTGGGGAATTCAGTCCATTTACATTTAAAGTGATTATTGATATATGAGGGCTTAGTACTACCGTTTTATCTCTTATTTTTTGGTTGTTCTACATTTCCATGGTTTCTCTTTCCCTGTATTTCTGTCTGCGATTTCAGTTTGATGGTTTTCGGTGATGGTTTTCTCGGTTTTCTATTTATCATTTGTGTCTCTGCTCTGATTTTGTGTTTAGTAGTTACCATGAGGTTTGTATAAAAGATCTCATAGATGAGATAGTCCATTTTCTGATAGCCTCTTATGTCCATTAGCCTAAGCAGTTTCATTCCCATCCGCTTCCCCTTCTGTGTTGTTGACTGTTTTTATCATGAAAGATGTTGAATTTTGTCAAATGCTTTTTCTGTGTCTATTGAGATAATTATGTAATGTTTTTTTCCTTTGTTCTGTCAATGTGATATATTACAATGATTAATTTTTGGATCTTGCACTCCTGGGATAAATCCCACTTGCTCATGATATATGATCCTTTTTATGTAATGCTGTCACACTCACTTATGATCTCCCACACTCAAAGGAACACACACACACACAAACTCACACACAACTATGGCTGCCCTGGTCCCGGGTGGGTGTCACAGTGACAGAGCCTGGCTCTGGGGTTGCCCTTGTCTGATGACCTCTCCTCAGGACCCTCTTCCCTCTGCTTCTTATATATTTGGCTGTATTTTGATTCTACAACTTCTCCATTTTATCACAAATTCTTATTTTTCAGTGGTGTTGATGATGGTATGTACTGGCTTGGGTAGAAAAAACACTCCTGTGTTTCTCCTTTACTACTCACACGGAACACGTCTGACACTTCTGGTCACCAAATGAGTGGGTTTTTCTCCCACATGAAGCAATTCTCTGTGACGCCAGCTTGGTGTCTTATAATTCCACTCAATTCTGACACTATCTACCTGGAGATAGCGTCAGATCCCACAAGTTAAGCGATCAGTCCCACAAGACTGCCTCCACTTCAGATGCCAATTGCAAGTCCCAGGTTGTCATCTATACTTCAGAGTAACTGACTATAAATTGGGGTTCCCACGACCCCCTTCTTTGGTTCGGTAATTTACTAGAATGGCTCACAGAATTGGGGGAGACACTTACTTATGTTTACCAGTTTATTAAAGGATGTGATAAAGGATACAGATGAACAGCCAGATGAAGAGGTATGTAGGGCGAGGTCTGGAAGGGTCCCAAGCAGAGGAGCTTTTGTCCTCGTGGAATTGGGGTGTGTCACCCTCCTGGAGTGGATGTGTTTGCCAACCCAGAAGCTCCCTGAACCCCATAATATGGGGATTTTTATGGAGGCATTATCATATATACATGATTGATTTTAACTCCATTTCCAGCTCCCTCCCATCTCCAGATAATGGGGGGTGGGGCTGAAAGTTCCAAGCTTCTAATCATGGCTTGGTCTTTCCAATGACCAGCCCCCGTCCAGGAGCCCACCAAGAGTCACCTCATTAGAACAAATGACACTTGTGTCACCCAGAGAATTCCAAGGAGCTGGGTCTCAGATGCTCCCAACACTTAGGAAATTACAAAGATCTTAGGAGCTCTGTGTCAGGAACTGGAGTAAAGACTAAATATCAGAACAAATGATTCTCCCAGCACCCCTATTTACAAGGATTTTAGGAGGTCTGTGTCAAGAACCAGGGACAGAGACAAATATATATATTTTTCTAATTATTTCACATGGCTATTGTGTTTTATTTCATGCCAGCCGTTTTACGTTATTTCCCTTAATTCTCATAGCTACCAAAATATGTTCAGTAGTATTACTATCCCCATTTTATCAATGATGAAACTCAGGGCCAAGGAGGAAAAAAGCGGCGCCTGACTCCATCTGCTGGGAGCTGACCTGACACCAACTGCTGGGTGGTGGTGCTCTCCTGATGAACACACTTTCACGAACACCAACATCAGATGACAGCATGGCTATGCAGCCGTAATGGAGTGAGACAGAAATAAGGCCACTCCAGAATCATGTCTGAGTGTGGACAAAAACAAGATCATCGTGAGGCCACCAAAATGAGTGAACTTTGCGCTCTCCTGTCTAGCATGAGAGATTGCTGCTGCTTTACCAATCACAGCTTTAGCCCTGCCCCATTCCCCTACCTCCTAGATAGAAATTAAGATATCCAGTCATAGAACTGCCCTCACTTTCCAACAGCACACAACCCAGAGCAACACTTCACTTCCTCGAACATTCCGTAAGTCACCTCACATAAGCCCAAACCCCACAATAAACCCCTCTGACCCCCCGCTTACTGAGACACTCCAGGTTACTCATGGTGTGCGGTCTCCTCGGTTTGCAACAAGTACCAATAAACCCAAATTTGTTCGACTACAGTGATGTTCCCAGTGGTATTTGGCTGGTGGGCATCAATTAGGCTTCAGCAACTTGCTGAGGATCACTAAACTCAAAAGTAGCAAAGCTGGGACTGGGACTGGAGGCTTTAAAAGCAATGCCCGGCTTCCAACCGCCACACCACCATGCATCTTTGGGCACTTACTGCGTAGCACGCCCGATTGTGTCGTGAGGAATTGAACTTACCTAAGGGGAGCTCTGGCCTTTGCCCTTGGCTACTGGGAGGTGATCTCTGCCCGCCTGGGGTAGCCTGCCTGATGGGAGTGTCTTTGTTTGCTGGGGACTTTGGCCGATGAACAGCCTCATAATGTGACTTGTGATGGGGCCTCTGGAACAGGCTGTATCAGTTCCAATGATACTCCAAAGGCACTGGGACTAAAGCTATTAGCCTGACCTCTGGGAGGGGCTGGAGACGAAGACCAGCCGCGTGCATGCACAGTATGTGATGGAGCCCCAGTACAAACTCTGGACACCAGAGGTTCAGGTGAGTTTCCCTGGTTGGTAATCCTCTGGGTGTACTGTCACTCACTGTGGCCAGGAGGCGGTGCTACCGTCCATGGATCCACAGGGAGGGGGCGACTGGAGGCTCTGCATTTAGACCCCTCCTGGACTCTGCCCTGTGCTTTGCTTCCTTTAGCGGGTTTCAATTTGTATCCTTTCGCTGTAAAAAAAACCCCATGTAATCATAAGTATAAAGCTTTCCTGAGTTCTGTGAGCCATTCTAGCAAATAATCAAACCTGAGGGTGATCCTGGGGTCCCCTGAACTTGCAGCTGCTGTCTGAAGTGAGGGCAGTCTTGTGGGGGCTGTTCCCTCAGACTGCAGTGTTTGGTGAGCTCCCTAGCAGGTGTGGTCAGACCCCCTGGGCAGACTGGGCAGTCTGGAGGACTCTGCCCTCAACCTTGCAGTTTGGCTGACTCAGGACACCTGTGCTCTGGAGCATGAGAAGGGGCACAAGTAGAAAAAAAGACTTGAGGAACTTTCAGTAAAGCCGGAGAGAGGGCCGAGGAGTTCTGTACAGCCCCATAGTGGGCTGGGCTGAGGCTCAAGGCCATACCTGGTATGTGAGTGTGCATGTGTGTGTGAGTGTGTTTGTCTGTCTCACCCACCAACTAGCTGCTGTTACCCCAGGCCCCCTGACTATCTGAGGGCCAGGAGGTCCCGTTAGCCCCACCCTGATCTGAGTGAGGACAGTGGCTCTGGCAGCTCTCAGGTCCCATCTACAAGCTCTGTGTGGGTTCCACAAGGCTCTTCCTGCAGCCTGTGGGCTGCTCCTGGGCCAGGCCCGGAGCCGGCCCGTGAAGACAGGATGGGCCTACAGGCTGTCTCATCACCAGACCTGGGACTGGGCTGGCACTCTGCCCTCTGCCCAAAACAGGTGGTGGCAGTGGGAATGCTGAACTGACAGACATTTCTTTTTCCTGATAAAGTTGGATTTATCTCAACAATGCAAGAATGGGGCCGGCCCGGTGGCGTAGCAGTTAAGCGCAAGCGCTCTGCTTCGGTGGCCCGGAGTTCACAGGTTCGGATCCCGGGTGCGCGCTTAACCACCATGTCAAGCCATGCTGTGGCGGCGTCCCATATAAAGTAGAGGAAGATGGGCACAGATGTTATCCCAGGGCCAATCTTCCTCAGCAAAAAGAGGAGGATTGGCATCGGATGTTAGCTCAGGGCTGATCTTCCTCACAAAAAAAGATAAACAAATAAATAAAGTGAGATGCTCAAAAAAATGATGTTCTTTGCTTTAAAAAAAAATGCAAGAATGATTTTATAAAACTTATAAATTTTATTTAACAGTGTATAGGCCAAATCAAAATAATAATATAAAAGTAATTGCTTGATAAAATTGAACACAAACTCAGGATTTATGAAAAACTCTTAATAAATTAGGAATAGAAGGGCATTTACTTAACCTGATGAGGAGTATCTATGATGGTTAATTTTATGTCAACTTGGCTGGGCCACAGTGCCACAATATTTGGTCAAACAGTATTCTGGATGTTTCCGTGAGAATATTTTGGATGAGATTAACATTTAAATCAGTGGATGTTTAAATCAGAGTAAAGCAGATTACCCTCCATAATGGGGATGCACCTCATCCAATCAGTTGAAGGCGTTAATAGAGCAAAGACTGACCTCCCCCTAAGCAGGTGGGAACTCTGCCAGCAGACTGCCTTTGGACTCAGGCTGCAACTCCTCCCTAGGTCTCAGCCTGCCAGCCTTCCCAGCAGATTTTTGGACTCACCAAGCCCCTGTGATTGTGTGAGCTAATTCCTTAAAGCAAATCA